ATTTTAATCAGCTGCAAATGCAACATTTAAAGGATATTTGTTGAAGCGTATTAGGATGAAAAGGTTTTAAATTTTGAATGACCATGAAATTAGGATTTTGCTGAGAAATATAAGGAATCAAAACAAATTTAAAATTTAATATTATTTTATTAATGGTTGTTTGTAATATTAGCTTAATCGTTTGTACGTCTTAAAAAAATAATATTATTATATTCAATCTATTTATAGAAATAGTTAGATTTCTTTTATAAGTAGTAAAGATATATATATATATATATATATATATATATATATATATATATATATATATATATATATATATATATATATATATATATATTTTGTTTCAAAGAACTATCAAATTCTTTTTAGCTTTCAATACTTGTGCCAAAATGGTAGCAAGTCAACGTTTTACATCAATTAAGATTGAAAAAATAATCAGACAAAAGAAAACAACACGATTTTCCCTATCATTTCCACCACCATCAACCACAATGAAGACAACCACCGATACGAGAAAAGATTTTATTGGATATATATTGAATTCCTGTAGTCTATGATCCCTTTATACATAACCTGCCAATTAAGAGGCATAGTCTTCCTGCATTTCTTTTTATCCCCGCAGAAGTCCTCCATGTCAACCATTGCCACCTTCGACCACTGGCTTTCTTTATAATTGGCTGATAAAACCTTTGATGCTTCATTGGAGAATCTCACCTTCTTCTTTGTTTGGTTCTTGGTGGAACCTAACATGCATCCAGAAACAATATAAACCCTTTAAATAATATGTTTAAAGCATACAAATGATTAATTATCCTTTTAATTTTGCTTCTTTTTTAACATCTACCATCAAACGTTTCATGTACATAAGTCCCAAAACATGTATATAATTGGAAAAAAGGGGAGGAAAAGAGAGAAGAAAACGTCCACAAGGTGAAATACCCAATTCGAATTCCATCTTTTTCATAAAGTCGGAAAGAAGGTGTTTATGAAACTGGTGAGCAAGAAGCACAACGCTTCCGGATACAACAAAAACGGTCATGAACCCTGTCCTCAAAGCATCGTTAGCCATTTTTTTTTGTCCAAAATTCTTTTCGATTCGGGGGTCTAAACCTACAAAAATGGGAATTGTTGGGGTTTAAAGAATTGAAAAATAGGGAAAACCATGATAAGGGAATTGAAAATTTAGCATTTTAAAGGGAAATGGTTGTGAAGAAACGATATGAGAAGAAAGCAGAGGTTTATATGGGGTGACGATGGAATGAGGGGCGGAGGATCCAAAAACCATTAGTTTTTATTTTATTTATTTTTAATTATAGTAATTTTATTTTGTATTTTGGTGGTAACACAATCCACAAATGTTTGGTTGTATCTCGTTTAATATTGTTTTTTTTTTTAGAAAAATAGTACAATTCAAGAGTGAGACTTCCAAGTCCCAACCAAAACAAATATGGACAAGCCCACTGCCCGTAGTGCATTACAGCTTATGAAACATATGATCAAAATAAAACCAACATAAATCCTTGAAAAAACCAACATAAATCCTTGAAAACTGAACAAGTTCTCATATTCGAAATACATTTAAAATAAAAATAAAAAAATAAAAAAAAACCCCAAGATATGTGCCCATATTTATTAGTTCGTTGCAGCACATAGGGGGTATTAAGACAGATTCGTAGGGTCCAATGGTTATTAGTAAGGGATCTGTATTCTAATATTAACGTTCATTGTGAACTCATAGGCCTCTCTAGAGTCAAGAAGATACAATACTACAAAGTACTATCGCCACGGAAATTAGTGTCTTGAATACATTGCTAAATAACAATGGCTTGCGAGAGACTGCTTTACCGGAGGTGAATATCGCGCATCTCCCATCTTTTCACCGGGTGTAAAGTACCATTGGTATGTTTGCACCAATGGTAAAATTTCAGATTTTCAAACGTTGGAGGATAGATGATCGTTGAAGTTGCCAATTTATTTGATTATTTATTTATTTATTTTTCATATTTCATTTATCACTACAAATATAAACCTACAAATCAAAATATATTCACGTTTATAAATAAATCTATATCCATCTTTATGTTTCTGTCATATCTTTTTTAGAAAGCTTCTAAAAAATGGCAAATCCATTACAAACTTGCAAGTTGTTGCTAACTATTAGTTAGGCTGTTATGAAATTATGAGAAATGATTATGACGCGGAAGATGCTTTTCAGAGATTGTTGGGATGCAAATACTTGTCTAATGACACACTACTTCAATAAAAATTATGTTTACGGGGAACACTTATTCCGACGTCGATTTCGAATGACAAAACATTTATTTCTCCATATAGTAGGTGACATTACTAAAATTTCTAAATATATGAGACAACGTCGAGATGCAAGATATGCATATGGTTTTTCGAAAATACAGAAATACGTAGTTGTGGTCCGTTAATTAGCTTATGGTTCTATTTCCGATGCATGAGAAGAATATTTTCCGATGTATGAGCAGATAGCTAGGGATAGTTTGGATGAGTTCTGCAGATGCGTTGTCACTATTTACGATCCAACGTATTTGCGTAAACCCATTTTTACTAATGTTCAACCAGTATATGTTCATCATGCTAGTGTTCATGGCTTTCCTAATATGTTTGGAAGTTTGGATTGTCTTCATTGGGCATGGGTAGTTGTCCTAACGCATGGCAATGTCAATTTACATATGGTGATTAAGGATCACCCCACAATCATACTTGAATTTTTTGCATCACAAAATCTTTGGATTTGACATGCATTTTGTTGGTGTTTCCGACTGAAACAACGATGTTAATGATTTAGACATGTCTTCCATATTCAATGAGTTTTGTGATGAGCCCACACCTAACTGTCCATTTCAAGCGAATGGAATGACGTACGATTATGGGTATTATCTTGCTGATGGTATATACCCCGAATTTGACGTGTTTGTGAAAACGCTAACATATCCAGGTGATCCAAAACACATAAAGTATAAAACACTCCAAGAAAAGGCTAGGAAGGATGTCGAATGAGCGTTTGGAGTTCTCAAGAAGCGTTGGCGCATACTACAACATCTAGCATGTCCTCGAGCAGTGGAAAAGCTCGCTTGTATTATGTATGCTTGTATTATTTTACATAATATGATTTTAGAAGACGAACATGAAATAATTTATCAGTATCAGGCAAATGAGAATGCATCCTCAAGCGTGTAACATCCGTTTCCTAGGTACTTTGTTTTTCTAGCTTAAAGCATAAACTTCTTGCAAAATTGGTCCTTACGTTGGGTGTAAATAAGGAGTACGCAGGGCGTAGGTCATTAAACACATGCGAGGATTGCATGCTCTATGCAGTGTGTAACACCATCTACACAGGGCGTAGATATGCTGTTGCTAAAACCTAATTTTTTAGGGTTGAGACCCTATTTAAATAACTTAAGTCCCTTAAGCCTTAAGGCCTTTTCATGCTCTCCCTCCACTCTCCTTAAACAGACATTTCAAAACCCTAAGCCCTTGTGAGCTTGTTTGAGCCAATTATGTGTGTTCTTGGTGTATATTGAAGGAAAAGAAGTGTATCATTGTGGTTCGGTGTGGCTTAATCTTGAAGATCCAGAGCCTTCATCTCTTTTGCAAACTTATGGAGGTATAAAGCTCTTACCTTTATAATTTATTGGTTTATATCTAGGTTAGCTTAGAGTTTTGCATGCTTTTAGGCCTATGGCTTTGGTTCTTGTGAGTAAAAGCTACTCGAGAGCTTATGATTGTCATATCTTGTCATTTTTAAGGATTTTAAGTCATAAAAATAGAATATTGATGGTTGCTTTTCACTCGTGTATGGGTTTAGAGTAAATAGAGGATGTTAAGGAAGTAAGGTTTGGTTGCCATTAAGCGATTCGATCGTGATCCTGATCGTATGATTGTACGATTCTACGATCTTAGGTATGAAAAACGAATCAGATCGTAAACGGATCGTATTTGGGACAAGATCATAAGATTGTAGGATCACAATTCGATCTGATCGTATCTTCCTTTGACTTTTTTTTTTCAAATGAAATTTTTTACCACTTTATGTATTTTATCAATTTGAAATATTTTTCATTTTTTAAAATTATAAATTAAAATTATGTTTTATTTTGTGGGATCTTAGGATCCCGATCTCAATCTTGCAAACCTAAAAATTATCATACGTAGGATCACGATCTTTACAACCTTGATCCTAATATCATTTGTTGGGTATTCAAATGAGATGAAAATCATACAATTAAAAGATTCAAAAACAAAAATAAAGAAGAAAAAAGATCTATATGGTTCATACGGTTAAGCTAAACATGGTACCTCCACGAATGAATTAGAAAAATCTATTATTCAACAACACAATTATGATGTGCGATACCCTTGAATATCGTCATAAGCAATCAATCTCCATAACTAAATGAGACGAGGTCGATTCGACAATGTTAATTTGAGCCCACATTCAATTTGATGGCTCGATCAGCCCCTTTCAACATGAGAGCTAAACTCGAAAGTGAGTTAGGTGCTTGCATAGCTCAAATATGTACATCAATATTATGATCAATAAAAAACAACCAATTAAATGTCTATTAGAAATATACGCGATAAAACAATCTTGATTTTAGATCGATTTGATATATAATCTGAATCTGAATACGTACATAAATTTAGAAAGCTCGATTATAAGATTCAGCTGAGCATCTATATATAATATTGATTCTCAAATCCAAATCATTGAATGGTTGATTCATATTTGTTTGTATGTCAAGATTGATTGACTTTAACTTTATATCGAACATAAATTACCACATGGAATGAGTCAATGAGATATAGTTCACCATAATACATGGTGAAAAGGGATAGGGAAGAGGGAGAAAAAAAAATGGGATATGGTGGTAAATTGTTGATTTCGATTTCCATGTGCAATAGTTTATTCAATCATTGAAGTTGGTCAATTTCAATTTTCCATGTTAAATCTCATCATGGGTCAAGTGATTTCCTTTTATCCAAAAGATGCAGTCATCTCGAAAAGGCAATGGCTTTCTTCACTTGGTTCTCTCGTGCCCGATCGTCTTGTAAACCCATCAAATTCTTTCAAAACTCCTTCGTTCAGTCCAATCACACTGCTCGATCTCAATTTCAATCTCAATCACGCATTCTAGAGAACACCATCATAGTCAACTCGAACAACAGCAACAAACAATCATGGAGGACTTCTTTGCTTCCGATTGTTTTCGCCGTCTCCGGCGGCTCACTTGCACTCCAGTTACAGAAAAACCCATCACTATGCGATTCCCCTAATCTCCAGGAAAGGTATTTCCGTTTTCCATCGTCTTCATTTCGATGATTTCTGACTTGGGGCTTGGTTGTATTGGTTCAACTGAAATGGATTTTTTGAGCCTTTCAATTCCAGAAGTGGGCGTATTGGGGGAAAAGATAGCACGGAGCGTGTTGTGAAGGGTTCGTATAAGCCAGTCCCACCCGAGCTCATCACTGAACTCAAGGCCATATGTCAAGTACTCTATCATATCGTCCATTAATAATGTTTCAAATTTCTTCCTGCGTTATAAGTTTGTTTATTGAAACCCTAATTACTTTCTAAGGATTTTGTACTCGTTTAACAGGATAACATCACATTTGATTATGACGAAAGATATTTCCATGGGAAACCACAATACAGCTTTCACAAGGCAGTCAATATCCCGGATGTTGTTGTGTTTCCAAGGTCTGAAGATGAAGTGTCTAAGATTGTCCGATCTTGTAACAAACACAAGGTTTGATCATTGGCACGAAACTTAGAGCTAGTTATATAAAAAATGTATTAAAAGAAATTTTGATTTGCACCCTACGAAGCTCTTTCATGTTCCATATTCAGGTCCCTATTGTACCTTATGGTGGAGCTACATCAATCGAGGGTCACACTTTATCTCCTAATGGAGGCGTCTGCATTGACATGACCTTAATGAAAGTATGATTTATGAAATAATTTTTCTTGTTGAAACCATGAACAACCTTGTGACATTGTTGGTTGATTTTTTCACATGTTGACTTACAGAATGTTAAAGCATTACATGTTGAAGACATGGATGTTGTTGTTGAACCCGGGATTGGATGGATGGAGCTTAATGAATATTTAGCACCTTATGGTCTATTCTTCCCCCTCGACCCTGGTTAGTTTCTAGTTTCTACACTTCATACGTTGCAATCATGCATATTGAAATGGTGTTTCTTGTCATATGAAAATTTGTTCAGATACATTCCATCATTCTTGTTTCACCTTTATCTGTATTTGGTGATTAAGGTGTATACATTTGTATAAATTGTATTGAGTAGGACCTGGAGCAACCATTGGAGGGATGTGTGGGACACGTTGTTCTGGTTCTTTAGCTGTTAGGTAGACACTTTGTCTTGTATATTTATTCTATAAGGAAGGAAATTGTTGCATTTGTTTTATATTAAGCTTCCTATAGTATTCATCTAATTACCTTTCCCCCTCTTTACTTTTAGCTCTATTGGGAATTTTTGTTGTTGTTAATATCAATATATGGTTTTAATTTGATGTGTTTGAATTTATACATGTAGATATGGAACCATGCGTGACAATGTCATCAATCTCAAGGCTGTTTTAGCTGATGGAGAAGTTGTTAAAACAGCATCTCGTGCTCGAAAAAGTGCTGCTGGGTGAGTTTTAAAACTGTCATAATTCATTTATTTTATATATAACAAAAAGCCCATTTTCCTTTTTTTTTCTATATAAAAGATTATTAGTGTGGGTTTTTATATCATAAGAATTATGCAGATATGATCTTACACGGCTGATGATTGGAAGTGAAGGCACTTTGGGTGTGATAACAGAAGTTACACTGCGTCTACAAAAAATTCCAGAACATTCAATTGTAAGTTCATTCTACTGAAATTACTTAAAACTCCCTTTATGTTTATATTTATTGCCATTGACATTATATGATAATGAATTGGTTGCAGGTGGCAATGTGTAATTTTCCTACAGTCAAAGATGCAGCTGATGTGGCAATAGCAGCTATGTTATCTGGCATACAAGTAAGTAAGCTTCTTCCACTAGTTTTCAGCTCTGATTATTATTAATAATATATAAATACTTTTTATTTACTTTGGTCCTGTTTTTGCCAGGTGTCAAGGGTGGAGCTGTTAGATGAGGTTCAAGTGAAGGCTGTTAATCTTGCTAATGGAAAAGACTTGCCTGAATTTCCAACTTTGATGTTTGAATTTATCGGCACAGGTATTTTCAAAAAAAAAAAAATATTAAAACGGATAAATTTCTTTTAACAAGGTTGCTAATTTACTGTTTTACAGAGGCATATACACGTGAACAGACACTTATAGTTCAAAAGATTGTATCTGAGCATCGTGGGTCCGACTTTGTTTTTGCAGAAGACCCAGAAGCTAAAAAGGAACTTTGGAAGGTTAGTTTACCTCTTTAATCTTCTTGATGATTTTTTTTTTAACTTTTAATATCTTAATTGAATTTTTTTTTTCTAGATAAGGAAAGAAGCTCTGTATGCCTGCTTTGCAATGGCACCTGGTTTTGAAGCAATGACAACAGTTAATCTCTGTACCTTGTTTCTTTTGAAATTGAAACAATGAAATGTATGATGGTTGACCAGAAAAGTCAAAGCGTATCTATCTTCTTTTTGATATTTTTATAATTTTCAGGATGTATGTGTTCCCTTGTCACATCTTGCTGAAATAATTTCTAAATCTAAAGAAGTTCTAGATGCTTCATCGCTGCTGTGGTATGTGATAACGTGATGTGACATCTTTGGTCCATAAATGAATCTGTGTTTTAATTTTTTAGGTTTTTGGATGGAATTCATTGAAATATTTATAGTTTTTACTGTATACATTTGTTAACAGCACAGTGATTGCTCATGCTGGAGATGGTAACTTTCACACGGTGATTTTATTTGATCCAGCAGATGATGAACAACGTAAGGAGGCTGAAAGATTGAATAATTTTATGGTTCATGCTGCTTTATCAATGGAAGGTACTATTTTTAATTTTTTTTGTTAGTTTGTTTAATTATATTTACATGTGAAATTGTAACTAATAACAACCCTCTCAGGTACATGTACTGGAGAACATGGCGTGGGTACTGGAAAAATGAAGGTATATATATATATGAGTCGACTGTAACATGTAGTTTGATAAGGTTGTTAGTTAGTTAAATGGTCTAAAATGCCCTTCTTCATTCATGGGTTGTGTTTGTTTGCAGTATCTTGAGAAAGAACTTGGAACAGAGAATTTGAGGACGATGAAAAAGATAAAGGCTGCTTTGGATCCTAATGGCATTATGAATCCAGGAAAGCTAATTCCACCTCATATTTGCTTGTGATATGGACCCTTGTTTATAGGTTATTACAAGTATTATACTTTACAACAAATGACATGTAATTTGTAACAAAGAAAACTCAATTGGCCCTGGGGGTGTGTACTTTATGATCAGACACCACTTTTTTGTGTAGAGATTAGAACAATAATATTAAAAATAAGAGAAAAACACAAATTTAGCATAATCCTTTAATCTTATTCCAAGAAATAACCAAAACATTAAGAAATGACTCATATCACCATTGAAATCCTCTTTGTATTCGATTTTGTCATGTGGAGTTAGACCTATGAATTACGATTTCAGAGAATATATATATATATATATATATATATATATATATATATATATATATATATATATATATTTTGCCATTTCGGCATGATGAAATCACAAATGTCATTCGGCCATTTGCAATTTCCTCTGCCCTATGACCCTGTCTGTAATTTCCTCAATCTCATCTACAATTTCTTCACGGCAAATGAGATTGTATAAGTGTCTAATGCATAAAATTATTTTTTTTTCTTAAAATTTTAAATATTGTGTCCATGATGAAATTACAACCCATAAGCGAAATTGCAGTCCATTAAATGTTACTTGCAATTTTAGTGGCTATTTGATTCATTTCTTAATTTTTGGGAAATAATTATGTAATTAGGCTAAATTTGTTATTTTCTTTAAAAATAATTGGTATAAGGGCAAAATGCAAAAATAGCACAACTATTTATCTTCCAACATCTAAAAAAATCATTACAAAAAATCTTACATTTTTAGTTAGGTTTCACATCAACCTGAATATCCGATTTTTTTTAAAGAAATTTCCGGTTGTTTTGTGACATGATATTTATCTTTTATGTATTTTGTTTTTACATTAAAATGGAACAAAAATAAATAACTTTGTCTCTTGTCTAAGATAAAACATGAGAAATATATCATTTACTCAACGACTATTTGTTTAAGCAAAAATAAGTGATATTATTTTTTTTTTCATGCCAACTTAAAAACGAATAAGATAAATGTTATGTTACAAATGACAAATAACCGATAACTTCTTTAAAAAACAGATATTTGGCCAAATCTAAAAGGTAAATAAAAATATACGATTTTTTTGTATTTAAAAAGAAAATATAAAGATTTTTTTGAATGTTTGGTAGGTAAATTATTGTACTTTTTTACACTTTGCACTGTAAATAAATACATGAAAAATAAACCATTTATATTACCAATACAAATTAAACGTGGTTGAAATTTAAAATTATTATATGTAGGGCAGTAGGTCATACCACAAAACATTGTGGTTAATTGGTTATTCTACATACATGCTTAATCCTTTCAAAATAAGAGCTATGAAAGTGATGAGTATGTATCAACGTCTCCTGAGTTCCGTACTCTACACTCCCCTGCACGAGCATCCAACCGTTGTGTTACAAAAAGCTGCAGTGTTATGTTGCACTTTGCTTTCTTTGTGCTCCTCCTTTCTTTTCATTTACTTCTGTTTTTCAGATAACTTCATGTTAAAACTGAAATAGAAAACTCAAGTGCCATCCAAACTATCTTAACGACTTTGGCAAACTTGATTGCTATTATACAGTCTAATATTGATTCTACATAAGTTAAATAAAGCCTTTTATGTAGGATTTCTTGAGATTATGTGATTTAATCATTTTCTCCGATTAATTTGACATTTGTTATACTTTAAAATCAAATTGTTTATCCTCATTATTTATTGAAGTAGGTATAGAATGCAGTAAAACGTTTTAGTTATTTTATAATCAAACTATATCTTTAATTACATAGTATAAGTTTGCACATATATCAACATATATACACGTTCCAAAATGAATAAAATTATTGTATTTTAGAAACATTTGAAGGAGGAAAAAGTTAGTTGTAGACTTCGACTGTCCGACAGCTAACCCACGAACGCAGAACCAATCACTATATGCAGTCCCACCACAACTTCTTTACATATCCGAAAGTAATATTTTTATTTTTCGAATATCCAAAAGATATTTGATAATAAATAAAAATAAAAAATAAAAAACCTAGGGTTTCGTATTCTCTCAACCATCTAACTTCCAATTTTCCCCAATCATTTCCACGATTTTCACGAACGAATTCGCTCCCGCTTTTTCCTCCTACATAAAACTTTTCAGCAAATTTCGTCTCTGCCTATCGGCGCAGGTGCCGACCCCCTACGGGCCCTTGATTTCCGCGTGAAAAATCGTTCAAGGTAACAGTATCTTCTTCAATTAGATCAAGAACTTATCGAATTATATGCAACTGTAATGGTATTTCCTTTTCAGTAACAGGTTGTGATTCTGTTGACCTTAATTTGTAGTTAGAAACGTACAGGCTGTTAAATTCTTAATCATGATCGCGATTGCTCTATGTTTTGATTCAAGTTGTGTGATAATTACAGGGTCCAATTTTCGTTTACTTTTATCTCAGTAGACTGATAATTCGCCGGGGAAGTGAAACTTTCTGCACTGTAAACGATCGGGTTCAGGAATCTTCGATCGGTAGGTGTTTTTTTTGTTACTTCTAGGCTGATTTGATGAACACCTGCTCCGAATATGGAATCTGAGATTGAGCAGCCTGCGGCGACTGTAGTCAAATGGTGTGATTGTGGATCTGATTGTTGTTCTGCAAAGCTTGACAATATTGGGCCATGGATACGCACTACTAAAAGAAAAGTTGATGAGATAGATGACAATAAATTCATCATACCTGGTCTTCCAATTCCACATGTGGCTCGTGTCGACATCAGTAATGAATGTGCTGCTCTTCGAGAGATGGTTAGTAACCAACAACAAACAATTCAAGATTTGTCAGATGAACTAGATGAGGAAAGAAATGCAGCTTCCTCAGCTGCTAACGAGGCCATGTCAATGATCTTGAGGTTACAGAGTGAAAAAGCTGAAATCCAGATGGAAGCCCGTCAATTCAAACGCTTTTCAGAGGAGAAGATGGCTCATGATCAAGAAGAGCTCATGGCAATGGAGGATTACTTGTACGAAAAAGAACAGACCATACAAGCTTTGACTTATGAGGTCCATTCATATAAACACAAGATGTTGAGTTTGGGTCTCACAGAATCTGAAATAGAAGGGGACAACATTGGTTTACCACTCATTAATAGCAGTGAAGCAAACTTAGAGAACCAATTTGAGTACAATTACCCTCCTCTAAAATGCAGTGCGAATGAACATCATGATGATACAGAAGTTGAGAATGAAACAGCTGATATAGAAGAAAGGATTGATGAATTGGAAAGAAGTCCTAAGCATAGTCCAGTACGCGAGATCTATACTGTTGACACTATTCGTAATGATGAATCCTTTGATTATGATCCGAAGGCTAATCTTGCTACATATGGTGATCTTAATGTTGCTAGAAATGAGTCATCATATGGTGGTATTGGGGATACAGATGTTAAGAAGTTGTATGCAAGGCTTCATTCACTTGAGGCAGATAGAGAATCCATGAAGCAGGCACTCATATCCATGAGGACTGATAAAGCACAATTGGTATTGTTGAAAGAAATAGCTCAACATTTGTATAAAGACATGGCACCACCACCAAGCAGGAAGCCTATTAAGAAGCCATCCATATTTAGGAAATTTTCCTTTATCATGCTGTTCAAGGTAATATTAGATCTTTCTACAGTTGGTTAAACATCTTTTTAGCTTTTAGCTCTTTTGGTCAAACTTTTACTTACATTTTTCATCTTCATCTCTTTTGGTCAGTGGATTGCATCATTTCTTTTTTGGAGGAGAGCACATCGAAGCAAGTAAGTTGAATTCCATGTCTTGTGCTTTCATTATCTTTAAGTGTTTTATTTGCTCAAAATCACAGCTTTATTTATTATTATTATTATTATTATTTTTTTCAGATACATGTTTGGTATGTCAGCGAACAATGTGGGATTGCGAATGGTGATAGACAAGGGACCTCAGATAGGGCAATGGAGGTGTCTTTCAAGAACACGGTTCTTGAAATATTGATCTCTAGTTTGGACTTTCAACCTGGTTTGAACATCTACATCACACTTTGATTTTTAGTTTTTTTTTTTTCTTAGAGAAAATTCTGATTATTTTTTTCTTATGGTATTTCTTGGTGAAGTGGGTTTGCATATGATTTGTTGAGAATTGGAGTGGTTTACATGTTGATTAGTGTTGTGGATACATATGTAGTGGTAGGAGATTGTTGGCTTGTAAGATTGCAATGTTTGATGCATGAATATAATGTGGAAATTAGCTTGTGTTTGTTCAATTGGATTCTTGGAAATGTAAAAGAGGGGAGATTAATCTTTAAAGGTTTCTTCCCCATCATAATAAATATACAAAAATGATCCCAGATTTACATCACTCATAAAATGTATGGATGAAGATTACCATTTTTACTTGAAGAGACTTTGCATACTGTTCTAACCAATCATGGGAAATATTGTAACCCTACTAAATCTCCCATCAAACAAAATAGAACGTATTGCTAATGTGCAACCCTACTAAATCTCCCATCAAACGTGATTACAAAGTGTTTTTTGAGCCTTTTAAATCAAAACAATTTGCTTTGATAAAAGACACCATAGAAATTAATCACTAAACTAACAAACTACAACGCTGGGAACCCTCGGGGGTGTTGACCATACTCATCATCTAAGTGGTTGATTGGTCAAGTGGGAGGTTGGTGTGTTTAGTGTAGGGTGTGAGACCAGGTGGTGGGGTGGTAATTTTTTATGACACCGACTGTGGAGGACCGGTCCGTATGTTGACCTCATGAATCATAATTCCACCAATTCCCTCTTGGTGTATGCAAATTAAGAAGGAAAATCATCAAAATTCAATACGATGACGAAGGTAGCATTGGTACTCGAGTTGCAATATCAGGTACCTCCCATTTGCATATTAAAAGTAAATGAAATACTAAATGTTTAGATGTTGTACCGAGTTGAGTATATCTTTGTTTTTGGAATAATTAGAACAAAGACAAATATGGCAAGAAATCCAAATAAAGTATGCCTAAGCATTTAACTAGACTTATCCCTTACAAACTGCTCCTTAGAATTTATTAATGTAAAATTCGCAGAAAATCCCTAAAACTCAACGTTAGATTAATAATAAAATCAACTTTTAATTTTAATTACAAAAGTCAACCCACTTTACTGAGCTCAAATACCATACCTTGGATAACCAACTTGTATCCTCTCTAACCTTTCCAAGTTGATTAAGTCTTTCACACCAACCAAAAATCTAAAGAGTTTACCTAACTTCTTCCTGATCTCCACTAAACCTTTCGCCACCTTAGCATGCTTATCAGACCCTATATAAACCCTATATACACGTGTTCTGGAAAATGCTCTAAACCATAAACCGATATACAATGTCGAACAATGCGATCCTCAATCCGATAAACCAAAACCTCCTCATGTTGAGCCTTTGAGAGTTTGAGTTCCCTCCATCGAGATCACCGTGAAGAAATGTCATATGCCACACGACGGGTGAAATCATTTCTTTGTAGTCCCACCATTCATAAATGGACCACTTGAAGCCAGTTAGCATAACTTAAGACCAAACTTGGTAAAAACAAATTTTATATCACTACAAAGCCAAAAATAACATTGGACCATTTAAACCAAAAGAAAAGTTTGTTGGGTGACAATGCAATTTTCCCCATCAATGCCATTACATAGTGATGTTTTTATTAATCCAAACGAAAGTAACAAAATTGATGTGTTCAAGACTAAAACAAAAGTAGGAGTGGTTTCGTCAAATTATAGGATCATGAGTTGTATTGAAAACACCGGGAGGTAAGAAGTAGACAGTTCTTGTCGGTTTCAACCAAAGTTCTAAAAAGTCTGGCATGGCTCCAAAACTTGAATTTGACATTATATTTTAATAAAATGCCGAATATAAAAATGAATTTTGTATATATATATATATATATATATATATATATATATATATATATATATATACACACACACACACACACAAACATAAAATTATAGCCTTAAGTCACACTTTACAAGCTCGTCATGACTAGTAAAAACATAAGGCTTGACATTGCAAATTTGCCATAAAGTCACACCTACAGTTATTTTAAAACTAAATTGCACAAATGGTCCTTGTGGTTTACTCAAAATTGCCACTTTGGTCCAAAAAGGTTTGTGCTAGCACCAGAGGTCCAAAGTTTTTATTTTGTTGTTTGTTTGGTCCAATCTGTTTTGATTTTTTTTTCAAAATGACGAATTTGCCCCTATTAATATGATTTTCTTTTTTTTTCTGACTTCCAGATTAAAAATAATAAAAAATAAAAAATAAAATAAATCTCTCTCTTTCTTATATTTATTTTTCTAATTTTTAGATTTAAAAAAAATAAAAAAATAATAATAATAATAAATCTCTCTCTCTCTCTCTCTCTATCTCTCTCCCTCCCTTCCTCCCATACTTATTGTTACTGCGTCCCTTCTTCTTCTTCTGTTTTAATCGAGAAAACCTCCACCGGAGGTGGGGTTTTTCGGTTATCAAGAGGGCAACAACCCCCTCCCGTTTTCCTTGTGCTTATCGTCAACTTCATAGTAACCCATATGCCCCCACCTATTGGAGTCGTCGATCTAGAAACCCTTCATCGGAGCCAGCAGAGTCGTTGATCTAGAAACTCTTCGATCTGGAAACCCTTAGTCGGAGTTGTTACCACAACCACTGGTCCACACCGCCTCTGCTATTGAACCTCTATGAAAACCTTTGATCTTGAAAACCCTATGATTTGATAGCCTTCGTCAACCAGAGAAGAATCGATGGAGAAGAACGAAGATATGAAAGATCTAGGGTTTTCTGAGGAAGAGAGAGAGAGAGAGAGAGAGATTTTCCTTTGATGGTTTTCACATTTTCGTTAGGGTTTCAAGACAGTGGTTGCAACACTCGTGGTGAGGGTTTCTTTGTGGGGAATATGACGTTGATGATAGGAACGGCTAGATCTGAGCAGACATATTGGTTGCCATACATCGAAGTCGCTGAACACATTCTCGTGCTAGACGTCAGAGTCGTTGGATTCACCACTATTTTCTCTGTTCGTCTTCTTCGGTGGTCGTTTTTGTTCTCCGATGGTTATTTCAAGTAAAGACTAGGTTTTCTGTGGAAAATTTGATGGATTTAAGAGAGAGAGAGAGAGAGAGAGAGAGAGAGAGAGAGAGAGAGAGAGAGAAAGAGATTTATTATTATTATTATTTATTTTTTTTAAATCTGAAAATTATAAAAATAATATGAGAAAGAGAGAGAGAGAGATTTATTTTATTTTTATTTTTATTTATTTTTTTAAATTTGGAAATCAGAAAAAAAAATATTAACAGGGGCAAATTCGTCATTTTGAAAAAAATCAAAACAGTTTGGACGAAACAAGAAACAAAATGAAAACTTTGGACCTTTGATGCTAATCTAAACTTTTTTAGACCAAAATATCAATTTTGAGCAAACCACAGGGACCATTTGTGCAGTTTAGTCTTATTTAAAACATTATTTCAACAATCACCTTGGTATGACCCATACGTGTACCACAAATTAGGTTAAATTTGCAGCTTAAAAATAGTCCAAGGGTGGTTTCTGAAATCACTCTATCCATTCTCCTGGCCAACTCAGCTTCTAAGTTCTAACTCGATCATAATTTTAACCATTTCTCCATGTTTTCCTCCGACATTTTTTTTTTCTTTCCCTACATATCATTGTTCTCTTTCAATTCCCAATTTGACGCGAAGTTTTTGGGTTTCTGACTTGTTCTGTTTCAATTTCTACATAATGTAATCAGTGGCTTTTATCATTCCTTTCTCCGTTAATTTTGAGAGTTCCATAATCAATAAGAATTTACAGGGACCGCGAAATTGCCTGAGATTGATAATCCGTCGAATAAAAATTACACCACTTCACCTGCAGTATCGGGTTTGATGCGTAAGACCAACGACATTGCCAAATTGTCAAATTTGCTACTTGAACAAGAACATCCGATGCAAATCTGCACATTGATATTGAATCGTGATAGCTATTCGGGTTCTGTATAAATCTGGAATGGGAAACAAAAACGCCGCTCCCGCAAAAACTGGGTTTTTCGAATCGATTTTAGGGGGGCCTAAGAAACGGCAGAAGACTAAGAAAAATAGGAAGAGTCGCAATGCCAAGGGGTCGGACGTATCACCGGAAGTCTCTAGTGGCGGATCTCAACATGGATCCATATTGCAGAGGAAAACAGGGAACATGAAGGAGCATTATACATTGGGTAGGGAATTAGGGCAAGGTCAATTCGGGACAACGTTTTTATGCGTGGAAAAGAGTACCGGAAAGGAATTCGCTTGTAAATCGATCGCCAAGAGGAAGTTGGTAATGGAGGAGGAGATAGAGGATGTTAGAAGGGAAATACAGATAATGCACCACATGGCAGGACATCCAAATGTGATCTCCATTGTCGGCGCTTATGAAGATGCGGTTGCGGTTTATCTTATCATGGAGCTTTGCGCCGGAGGGGAGCTGTTTGATCGGATAGTAGAACGAGGGCATTATACAGAGAAGAAGGCAGCCGATCTGTCTAGGGTCATCGTCGGGGTTGTGGATGCATGTCATTCTTTAGGTGTTATCCACAGAGACTTGAAGCCTGAGAATTTTCTCTTTTTCAGCGAGGAAGAAGATTCCCTACTTAAATCAATCGATTTCGGGCTTTCCGTCTTTTTTAAGCCAGGTATTTGAACCTAAAATAGTCCCTTGATCATAATAAACAAGATTTTGAAGAACAGATTTTTAATTGTATCGATTCAGGTGAAAAGTTCACCGATACAGTCGGGAGTGCTTACTACATGGCCCCTGAGGTCCTGCGAAAAAAATATGATCAAGGGTGTGATGTTTGGAGCGCAGGTGTTATCATATATATACTACTCTGTGGGGTCCCACCTTTTTGGGATGGTGAGTTCCTTTTAATGTTTCTGTAATAAGTAAGTAATAACCCGACCCGAATATAAAAGCTGTGTGCTTTTGAAACAGAAATGGAAGCTGGGATATATCAGCAGGTGTTGAATGGTGAACTTGACCTTGAATCAGACCCATGGCCAAGTATATCTGAAAGTGCAAAAGATCTTCTTAGAGGAATGCTCGTAAGAAACACCAAAAAGAGGATGACAGCAAGTCAAGTTCTGAGTGAGTATCTACTATTTAAACTCTCTAATTTCTTTGGATATATATAATTTTTTTTTTATTCTGAGTTTCCAATTCTATATTCTCATGATGTAATGTAGACCACCCATGGATTCAAGCTGATGGTGTTGCTCCAGATAAGCCTCTTGATACTGCTGTTCTATCTCGTTTGAAGCAGTTTTCTGCCATGAACAGAATCAAGAAGATAGCTATAAAAGTAAGTTTTATTATTATATATATTATGTTTACCATTTTCCTTAAAGATTGAGATTAGTTTAGTGATTTGAACAGGTTATTGCTGAGAGTCTATCTGAAGAGGAGATCGCTGGATTGAAAGAGATGTTCAAGATGATGGACACTGATGGCAGTGGTCAAATCACGTTAGAGGAATTAAAGGAAGGATTGGTAAAAGCAGGCGCCAACTTTAAGGATTTAGACATGAACAAACTAATGGAAGCGGTAGGTAATTCACATTAACTACAATAATTTGGTTAATTTCCATGAACGCCTGCAAAACTGTAAAAAAAACCCTAAACTGAATCCAAATTAAATTGCAGGCGGATATCGACAACGATGGAACGATAGACTATGGGGAGTTTACAGCAGCGATGCTGCACTGTAATAAAATCCAGAAGGAGGATCATTTGTTTGCTGCTTTCTCGTATTTTGACAAAGATGGGAGTGGATACATCACCGTGGAGGAGCTTCATCAGGCATGTGAGAAATTTGGTTTGGGTGATATACCACTTGATGAAATCATGAACGAAGTCGACCAGGACAATGTACACACATGTTCTTATTCTTCAAACTTATCGTCTTTCTGTGATTCAATTTGTGACAGTATTAGTTTTTAACCTCTTTTGGTGTTATAGGATGGGAGGATCGATTACAGTGAATTTGTGGATATGATGGAAGAACGTGATTTTGGGATGAACATCAAAACATAAGAGGAACGTCTTCATCAGTATAGTTAGCTTTATAACCGGATTATGTTAAATTCTTATAGGTTTTTTTTTTTCCTTTTTTTTTTAATTGTTCTTGTTAAAAAGTTGAAGTGTAAATCGTCCCTATGTAATTATATCTTTACTTTAATCAAAATAAATAACCTTGGTTTTTAAGTCCTAATCTTTTGAAAATATAGCGATTATCCATGAAAAAAATAACAAAACTAAGAAATGATTTACCATAGATCGTTTCGGGGTAAAACCGATCCTAAACCTACCGATCCTAAACCTAAAAATTAAGTATTCAACTTTTGAAAGCTATTGGGTTTGGTTTTGGAGTGGGTTTGGTTTTTGGTTTGTGGCATTGGTTTTTCGGTTTCAACCCATAGGTTGTTTGGTTTTAGGTTTTAACCATGTGTTTTTTATTTTAATCCATTTTCCATCAATTACGATTTATTTTTCTAATTACAATCTAAGCTGTCTTAAAGGTAGATGACATTAATTTGCTTTTTGTAACATATATTAGTTGTAATCCCTAGCAATATTGGAGTAATAGTTTATATCTTAAGTCAAGCTACATTTTGATTTTAGTTTTGGAGATGATAGGAAAACATACATATTTTAAAACAAATTGTTTATGAACTTAGAAAGCTAACAATTTAACGAATTGGTAACCAACTGTGTATTAAGACTATGTTTAGTAGATTAGCTCAAAAAACTAATTGTTATAGGAAAAACGAGCTGGTAACTAAAAAACTAGCCGATAAAAATAGTGTTTGATAAAATTAACCAATAAGAGAGCGTTTTGTTAGAATCATGAAAAAACTTAAAATAAAAAAAAATAAAAGAAAATTAAACAAACTTAGTTTGCCTCTATAATAAGAAAGCCTTTTCAAAGTAGGTTATTCAAGTGAGTCTTGTGTAATTGCGAAACATATTAAAAATACGGTCCCAAAATTTCGTTTTCAAATCATTATTAAACAATAAATCATCAATAATCATAAATAAAATCATGAATCATGTACCATAAAGCATCATAATATTTGTCACATATTAAAATCTCGTATCAAAATATCAGAGTAAAACTCTCAGGCTAAAGATTGTGGTGTGTGCCATGCAATCATCTCGATCCATTCCCTTTGCTAGTGGAAATATCTGAAACCAAAACTGAAAACCGTAAGCACGAAGCTTAGTGAGCTCCTCCCCCCCCCCCCCCCCCCCAAAAAAAAAAAAAAAAAAAAAAAACTACCATATACCATACACATATAACATGCAACTAAGAGATATGGGACCCGCCCACACTCCGCTAACTAGGAGATACGGGCCCCGCCCACAGTTCGCTGACTCTGAGATACGAACCCCGCCCACACTCGACTATTATGAGATACGGGTCCCGCCCACACTCAGCTGTTATGAGATATGGGCCCCGCCCACACTCATCTGCTAAACAAACATACAAGTATCACACAAACAACATGTATAACTAGTTTTATTAGTCAAACATATATCCATAATTGAATTAAACTATGAGATACGGGCCTCGCCCACACTCGGCTACTAACATATCATACTACAGGCCGGCCTTTGTGCCTTAGACTCATTCCTACTGAAAGGAAACTCACCTCGTACGACTGACTGTTGAAAACCCAAGTAAGGAATCCTTGTCTGCTGTTTTGGCGACTCTCCGACAATAAATTCCATAATAACACTTAATTAAAAAAAACTAATAACTCTTCATAGGGTAAAATGACCACTTTTACCCTTGGTCAAAGTCAACATTCTGGGTTGACCAACTCGCCGAGTCAACCTTTCGACTCGCCGAGTTCTATAACTTAGAATTCTTGAAATCGCGACTCAACTCGCTGAGTCGCTCCACCGACTCGTCGAGTTCTATAACTTAGAATTCTTGAAATCGCGACTCAACTCGCTGAGTCGCTCCACCGACTCGTCGAGTCCTATCGAGCCCTCTACAGACTCGTTGAGTTCTACTAACCGAAATCGGGACAACACGACACGACTCGTAGAGTTCCCTTATGGACTCGACGAGTCCATCTGTCTGTTTGGCCATCTTAACAGATTAAGCCCTTATCTTTTAGATCCAAGGTTCTTAGATCGTTTGCCCATTGGAAAGGCCTTTCTAACTTTACCCGTCCATAGCTCTTTTAAAAGGGTTTAGACAAAGCCCTAATTCCAATAAGGCATGGATCTTGTCTAAAAGGCCATATAATCTCAAATCCACACATACAAACCTAGATCTAGGGTTAACATATGTTGGACACATAAAGTTTCGAGCTTTCCTTCCATGCATAGTCTTTTAGGGCTAAAAAGACCATAAACTTGCACATATGCTTTCATGGGGCTTCCATGGTCATAAAGTTTTCAACTTTATGCCATGGAACCCTTCCTAGATTCTAGATCTGAGATATAAGCCACTTGGGACGTCCCAACTCCAAGGACCAAGGTTCTTGGACCAAAACTTTCACAAAATGGAAACAAATAGATCTAAGAGAAGAATGATCAAGTTGGAAACTTGATTACCAGAAAATGTAGCATATGGAGTGTAGTTCCTTGATCTACTCCTTCCCCCTTGAGTCTTCTATCTTCTATTTCTTCCACAAGCTTCAAAAGGCACAAATAACACTCAAAATGGCAAGAAATAGCTCAAGATCACTTATGGTGGATTAGGGTTTTGAGTTAGGGTTTTGGTGGTGATGGAGGCTAGAATGGAGGTCAGATATGATGCTTAAATAGGGTGCAAACCCTAAAGATTATGGTTTCATCTAGCCTGTTCTACTCGTTGAGTATCTCACTTAAACCCCTCGTATAAACTGCCTTCTACTCGACGAGTCAGGGCTACCAACTCGTCGAGTCCTTCTTTCGAAATAAATAGATAAATATTTAATTAAACACATACCAGGGAACCGAACGTTACAAATTGTCAAATTTTAATCGGTAGAATAACTGAGTCCCACTAATTTGTTGATGTGACTCAAGCCAAGAGCTTGTTAAATAACAAGTTATCTAGCTATATGAAAAAACTTAAGTTTGAAAAACTCTAACAATAGTTTTTTCACATTATATTAGTTTTTTAGGTAAAAAAAATCTTTAAAACAACTCACAAAAAGCTCTTATCCTCTATTATAAATAAGAACTTTTTGTCACATATATCACATTTTTATTTATTTTGCCACATATAATTTTGTGGTTCTTTTAAATTGATTTTTTATTCCATATGTTATTTTATAGTTTTTTTATTTTATTAAATTCTAAATAATATTTAAATACAATAATAAATGCATATCAATTGTATTAATGAACTTTCCTTTTAATTTCAAAATTACTAAATTAAAGATTTATTAATTTTATTTTTTTTATTTATTTAAATTTAAAAGAAAAAAACATTTTAATTTTTATAATTCTATTTTTTTTTCGTTTTTTTATAAATTAAAAATTCTCAAATATTTAGAATTTTGTATTTAGTTTTTATTTTAAATAAATACATTTAATAAATGAGTTTTCGCACTTGATAGTCTTATTATAGATGCATTAAATATCCATTTAACCCTTGTAAATTAACATCATTCCATCCAAACACAATCAAACAAAATACTTCTATATATAATCTGAATTGTTTGAGTGATTCAAAAGTTTTATCTCCTTATTATTTAAAAAAAAAAAAGACGACTCATGAATAAAAAAGACGACTCATGATTCATATTAAAAACATTTTACCTACTTATAAATAAGAGATTACTCATGATTCATAAATCAATAAATCCTTCATTTATAAAGAATCAAACAACACTTATGCTCTCTGATTATGATAAAGTAACAACCTTCTTAACTCTGAATATTACAAAACTGTGAATATCACAATTTAAAATCATCTGATAAATTTAGAAAAGTGTCAGTAAAAGTATCTCATAAATTATTATTATTATTATTATTATTTAAAAAAAAAAAAACTTCCTAAAATTATAGAAATTCGTTTTAAGGCATATTCTGTAGGAATTCTGATTTCTTTTTAACGGCCACGTTCGTCACCAGAAAGCGCCAAGCAACTGCGATCCGATCCTTTCATATCTCAAAGAAGACGCCACCATCCATCACCACTCCCATATCAACTGTTTCAGAATCCCCGGTTTCTCCTGGTAAGTAACCTCTTCTAACTTGAAATCTCTCATTCTCATGCGCAAAACCATTTGATCGGAGATCGGTTTTAGTTAATTGGTAATCTCTCCACATGTTTTTTGATTTTTTCAGTAACTGTTAGCGGGTTCAGATTTTTCTGATTAAAAACGAATTTGAACGATATTGTCCCTCTCATTATTTTATCGCAAGATCGAAGAAACCTTTTGAATTAATGGGTTTCTCATATCGAGATTGATGAACTGAGGGGATTTTAAAGAGGGAAATTGAAACTATTTAGGAATCGATACATCATTTTGCAACTCTCAAGTTTGATAACTTGAAATCTTGAATGGCATTCGGTTTAAATCCCTTCCCCTTTTGTTGATTCTCTAACAGAACATATATTCTGATTGATCTAACATATATGCTGATAAGAACTACCGGAGACGGTTCCGTTCATATATTGGCGTTGTTTGTTTTAGAACCTGTTTACATTGATTTGAATGTATGCCTAAAAGTAGTGAAAATTGAAATCTAGGTTTATCAATTAACTGTTGTCATTGCCTTTAAATGTATAACTTGGGACCCAACCAACTTTGTTGGTTCACTTTCTGTGAGAGAAACTTTATGCTCTCGTGCAAATCCCAATATTTTCTTTTTGAGTTATTGAGTTTTCAAACCATCAAACTTGACTTTTATCTGCAAAGAAATCCAGCATCCTGCAAAAACAGAAGAAATTGACACTACACAATGCAAAAAATGAGTTATTTTAGACAAGAAATGCCCTATGTTTGTTGATAATTTCTTTAGTTCACAATGTCTGCTTACATTGTTCTTATTGAAGGTCATATTAGACATTTGATAGGCAATCCAACAATGTCTATCAAACTACATGTAGAGCTAAACCATGGTTAGAGGGAATATGTCAAGCCCTTCAAATTAAATGATATAGGTGACTTTATGGTTTACAGGGTGATTAAATAACAAGCACAATCATGAATCGGCTCACAAGTTCTGCACGTCTCATGATTGTTTCAGATCTTGATCA